ATAATTTAAGATAGACAGTATTGTTAAATTATATATATTATAATATATGACAATCATTATATTTTGTAAATATAACTTATAAATTAGTATTGAAATGGCAGTTCTATAAGTAATATAATAAGTAATATTTATCTAAAATTTGTAGAAAAAGGTTATTTATAACAAAATTGATTCATCCAACAATAGTAATAACCCAAATATTTTATATCGCTCTGATTCAAAGCAGCTACTTGCATTAATCTGATTCAAAGCAGCTTTTGATTTAATCAAAAAATTTTTGATTGAAAATACTCAATTGGTGAGAACATATAATAGATAAATTCTACAAATTTTATTGATCTTAGAATTGTTTATAGTTGTTCATGATATCATTAATTTATTTATTAATATACTCATTTTATTATATTTATTAACTTATTTGTATATAAATCATCTATATTTAAATTGTTTCGTTCAAATATACAAATGAGTTAATAAATATAATGAAATGAGCATATTAATAAATAAATTAATGATATCATGAACAACTATAAACAATTTTAAGATAAATAAAATTTGTAGAATTTATTTATTATATGTTCTCATCAATTGGGTGTTTTCAATCCTCAATTATATTTTACAAACCTATTATCCGTGTTTATTAAACTATTTTAAAAGAAAAATATCGAATATTAATTAAATATTTTAGATTAGTTAATCCGAGAAATATATATGTATCATCAAATTTTATATTCATCCGCAAATTCATTATATACAATATATAATATAATTAATGACAAAAATATATTTTCTTTTTTTAGAAGTTTTTTTTTAAATCGTGAAAATTTTCTAAGTGAATTTTATGGTAATATTAAATTTTACATAGAATATTTTGGTATAGTATTAGGTGTTGGAATTAATTCGTAGCGTTTTTAAATGAAAGAATGTTATTTATTTCACATGAGCATTAAAAAATACATTAATGAAAGTACTTCCCATCACTTGTAAAACGCTACGAATTAATTCCAACACCTAATACTTTACCATTTGAGCAATTAATTGGCAAAAACTAATAATTAATATTAGATTGAAAATATGTCGCCTTTAGTTGCATAAATATTTAATACACTAATATTCCGTCCACAAATTGGTAAAGATAAATATAGAATGAATTAAATTAAATTATGTAAAATCTCTACCAAATTTTAAAGAATAATAGATTCGACTAGATCTTTACCCTTTGTATTCACTACATCCAAGAGTTGACTCTCCAGGAAGCAGTTGTGAATGGTCTTAATTCAAATTTTCTATTTTATCTTGGTATCTGTATGTGTGTGTTACGCAAGGATCAGTTATGGCGGCGTGAAAGTTTCTATTGCGCAGTTTGTTATCGTCTCGTTAATGATCAGATGAAAATTTAATTGTGAATCCAAATCACAATTCAGGGTATTCTTCTTTCCAACACAATGTACTGATCTTCACATAGTTTTATATCTTATTCTTACTCTGAACAAGTAACTTATTATCCAGACGAGACGATTTACATGTTATCTCTACATAGCAGTTCAAAACGGAATCCATATTGCGTATGGATTTTATGGCGCTTGCAGATGTGTACGCTATAGACGCCGCCAAATAAGAGATGTAATACGCAGTACCGCCGCAAGATGAACTCGTTTTGTAAAGAGAAAACGCGGATCTCTATAAAGAGGCATATGTAAATGAAATCCGTCACTTATGCTCAGCTCGATCAGAGCTGTGCTCGTAGATCTCTGAAAGCACTTTTTTTTAAATAGAGTTCTTAATAGTTAGTTTCTGTGATGCATATTCGTTTCCTATATTTTGTATCTTGAAACGCGGATATAGCATATATCTTATCTTATTCAAAATTATTGAACACTTTTGTACAGTAGTGTAATAGTACAATAATGCTGTAGTGCTGTAGTACAGTGCCTCCTAGTTCAGTAGTACTATCCTATAAGGGTTGTACTATCTTACTTAGCACCGAGTCACTACCATATCTCCAAATACTGCTTTATATTTAAAATCGAAAGAAAAATTAAAAACTTACATTTTTTTCAACTCATAAGCTGACGTAGATATTTCCTTAATACAAAAGTTTTACAGCATATATAAATAAAACGACAGTTCAGTACCCAGGGTTTTACGTGCACAAACAATACTGAGTCTATTAAATTAAAATTGAAAGCTTAAAAAGAAAGATACATATCGATCTGCAAATTACGTGTATACAAATGCGAAGATTCGGGAATGGTAAAAGAAGTACTTGTGTCCAGCAGTAGATGTTTGATCTTGCAAGAGATGGGAGAGAGATTGCAACATTTTAGATAAGGATAGGTGTATGCATTCGACTAAGACGGAACGTTAATGAAATGAATAAAGATGTCACTGTTATCGACCTTTTTTTATTTGGATTGAATTTAAAGAATCTGTACTATCGATATCGATTAAGTTTGGCTGTCACTCCAGTATCCCCTTAAATAGAAAATAATAATGATCGTCGATATACTATTTATTATATTTAATTCTTGTGTTACTAGTGTTACAAATATTAAATTCCAATTACATTTAATTATCTTCAATTGAAACAATATAACATATATAGTCCCTAGGAACGCCGAAATGATTTTTCGGTCTTAAAATGCTAATTCTACTAAACTACCGCAGTAATATCATAAGTTAAATTGACTAGCAATTTAACAAACTTTTGATGCTTATTTGCATCTTTGAAACGATCTTAATAATGTTGAATGACATATTAAAATCTGTAAATAATTAATTCTTATTGCGAAAAATATTCCGTTTAAGGCTTCGATGTCTACAGTTTGTGTTATGACACATATATAGTCCTATATATATATATATATAGTCCTATAATATATTATATTGTTTATGATGAAATTTATGATAATAAAGAACAGAAATTTCAGTAAAATAGAAATTTCAGTAAAAGAAGGTGATGATGTCGAGATAGATAAGTCAGAGACAGCGAATGAACAAGTGCGAGATCCAAAATCAAAACGAGTTGTTAAACCGAATTCTAGATATAAGAATTTTGTATTGTAAGCTGTAAATAATAAGTGTATTGGCCTTTTAATAAAAGGGAAAGAATGTGAACATGCCTTAAGAGCCACATGGGCAAGTGATTATGGGGGCATTCACGAGGAATGTTGGTGGTAGAGTGCTGAGGCATATTTATAATGGTGAGTCGATTATGGGGATGAGGTCAATAAGTGCTGGCTCAAAGTGTACGTGATACACAAAATATTTTGCTCCCAAGAAATACCACTACAAATATATATGTATGATAAATGTACATGTGTCAATTAAGTCTTAATATGCATTTTATATCGGAGTAATATTTGTTTTAACATTTTATAGCTGTCTTTACCCTACATGTGTGTGTACGTATAATTTTGTGATATTTTAATAATTAACGTCTTAATAACGTCTTTGACATTAAGTAGACATCGTAGAAACATTATTAATTATTGTAATATATAATATGTCATTCTGTTCCTTAATATGTTATATTGCCACATTACTATGATAAATTGCAGCAATGCTATTGTGACATATCATAAAAATATTATTGGGAGTACAAATTAGTTCGGTTTTTTTGTGTTCAAAAATGCATTTATTTTAAAAACAAAATGAATGAACAGATTAATTAAAGTATTGTCCATCGCTGGACACTACTACTTTTTCCCATCTCGAAAAAATGACTCGTCTTTAAAGGCGATCCAATTTTGGAGAAATGAACCGGTGACTTGCCAAATCGTGCTGCATCCTTCGGAACAACCAGTAATCAGAACGAGCAATGTCCGGAGAATATGGCGGGTGCGGTAAAACATCCCATTTGAGCGTTCCCAAATATTTTTTTACGACTTTTGCGACATGAGGCCGAGCGTTGTCATGAAGAAAAATAACTTTATCATGTTTTTGCTCGTATTCTGATCGTTTTTCTCGCAATGCATGGCTCAATGGAATCAATTGTAGCCGATACCGATCGCCCGTAATGTAATCGCCAGGTTTCAGCTCATAGTAAACAACACCCTTTTGGTCTCACCAGATACAGAGCATGATCTTCGAACCATGAATGTTCTGCTTTGGTGTTGATGTTGAGGTCGATGGCAACGATTGACCGGGCTTAGCGTAGTATTTTTTCTTCTTGGAGTTGTCGTAGAATATCCACTTCTCATCTCCAGTCACAATCCGATGCAAAAAATCTTTTCTTTGTTGTCTTTGAATCAGCTGTTCGCAAGTGAAAAATCGCCTCTCAACGTCTTTCGGTTTCAGTTCATAAAGCACCCAATTTCCTTGTTTTTAAATTATTCCCATGGCTCTCAATCGTGCAGCAACAGCTTGTTGAGTTACTCCGAATGATTCTACAAGCTCTTATTGCGTTTGACTCTGATCTTCTTCGAGTAATGCCTCTACTTCTTTGTCTTCGAATTTTTTTGGCTGTCCAGAGCGAGGCTTGTCTTCAACGCTGAAATCTCTATCCTTGAAACATCGAAACCATTCCCTACATGATTTATCAGTTGGAGCAGTGTCACCATAAATTTCGACAAGCATTCGATGGGCTTCAGCTGCACTTTTCTTCCAATTAAAGCAGAAAATTAGAACTTTCCGCAAATGCTGCTTGGTTAACACAAAATTCGACATTTCAAACACAGTAAAAATCAAGGTTTTTGTATGAAACTCAAAGCGATATAAACTGAATATTATCAGCAGATGTCTAACCTCTCTGAAAATGTCAAAATCAGCTGTCACTATGAACCATTCACAACAGCCGGAGCCATCTTTTGGAAAACGGACCGAACTAATTTGTACTCCCAATATTATAATATTTCTGTGATATTATACTATAATATATAATATTTGTGATATATTGCAATACTACTGCGATATTACTGTGATATTACGCACTATTACGGGTAGTACGTATTATTTGCTTTAGAACGTACTTTTAAATTTATATTTGATATATATTGCAGGCTGAAGTCGATAACATGGAGAAGAAAATCTCTGAGGAACGTGATCGGCATAACACAATGATTAGTAAAATGGACGCAGCGATGCAACTCAACGCTGATCTCAAGAAAGAGTATGAAACCCAATTATTTCTGTTTCAAAGCCTTCGTGAAAAATACAACAAAAAAATTATTCTTTTGTCCAGAGAGAAACAAATCCTCGAAACAGTCGCGTCTGCACCTAAATAAAGATAATTTTCATGTTCTCAACATCACCTATACAGCACAGAATTTGCAGCACAGAATTTGCATGTTGCAGCAATATTGCTGCAGCTTTTGTATCGTAGGGGCATTAACAGACATATTTGGCATATAAATTCTTTTTTGTTATGTATTTTTAATTCTTAAATTTAATTCTTAAATTTTTAATTCTATGTATCTTCAATTCTTATATATTTTTACTATTAATTCTTATGTAATTCTTTATGACTATGCGTGGTTTTATCAGTAATGTAATCATAATTAATTTCGTTAGTATTCCAATTGCTTCAAGAAAGCTTAACCTTGTACTCTGATAATTTGTGCAATAGATTCACAATATTGGAAATGTTGTACATCACACATGCAGAAAGCAGATTATACACAAAAACGTATAAGTAGAATATTTACACACATAATAGCTGTCTCAATAATCAACAAACCAATTGAAAATTAACTGTAAAAAATAAATTTTTAGAATTAGTTTCAAGAGCTAATATTTCAAAACTAACAGTAAACTATATATATATTGTATTAGAACAACTTTCTAATTTTTAATGTCATATTTCCTAATATAATTCCCTTCTCAGTAATATATACTTTTATGTGAAAATCGAATAAGAAGCATAAATATTATAAGATTGAACAACAAAAGAACAAAATTTTAATCGATGCCTGAATCGTTAAAGGTACTATATCGAAAAAAACGAAAATGAAGAAAGGTCTATGTCAAGAAATGAATGAAAAGCAGTTTATTTTGCGTGAAGTATGAAGACCGGTCTATGTCGGAACGCATATGAAGTACAGTTTATATTGAGAAAGCCAGAAGAACGCTTCAAGTCACATGAAATTAAAAAAAGAATCTATATAGCTCAATATTTACTACTTATAAATTACATTTTAGTTACGAAAAATTAAATAATAGTTAAATGAATAAATAAGTGCGAGAAACAGGATTAAAAATAAAGACGATTCTCATTTAGTCACTATAAAATTTATGAGAAGAAAATATATTGAGCTATCTAACCTTTTCTTTAATTTCATGCAACTTTAATTAATTTCTTGACATAGACCTTTCTTCATGTTTTTCTCGATACAGCGTTTACTTACGGCTCAGGTGTTATTATACACTCTACTTATCTACATCGTTTGATTCTATAAAATAAATAACTGTAATTACTTATAGTATAGTTACTTATAGTATAGCTATATCGGCCGATATTCACAATCCGTTCTTATATTGGTTGAGTTCGAAAACGTCGCTCCGACCCAATCAGCAAACAACATTTTTAAATATTTTTAAATGTTTATTTCTCATTAATTTTTCACAATTAATTTTCGAAATTCATTAATTTAATATTTATTTAATGTTTATTAAATGTTTATTTTACATTATAATTTTTTATTTGAAATAAATGGTTAAAAAAACATTGTGTAAACGTTTATTTAATGTTTATTTTGAATTTATTTTTATTTGAAATAATGGTTTGAAAAAATATTTTTTAAACGTTTATATAACGTTTATTAAATGTTTATTTTTTGTTATTTATTTATGACATCATGCGAAGTGGCAGTAAAACATCACAGATATTGGGGACTGTAGTCACGTACAAGACAATAAAAAACATTAAAAAAAGAGAAAATTATCATGAACAAAAAATAAAACAAAAAATGATCATAAAACGAAAATAGCATAATGTAATTTTTCTTGAAACAACATTAAATATTTTAAATAAATACGACCAAATTTCATAATTAATCGATTGAGTGCCAACATCTGGTTATTATCGAAATCGATGATATTGAAACACAATCTCCCTCTCTTGATAAAAGAGCCTCGAATGTTTATCCTTTTTTGGAAGGAAACATGAGCATGTTTTGCAATATCAAGATTAGTAGAAGTATAAATGTAAGTGAAATTCAATAGAATGATATTTTCATAAATTTTTATGAGGGTGGAGCGTTTTTTTAAGCATACTTTGAAAATGAGCGCATAATGCTCTATTCTGAAAAGAGGGAGTTACAGACGAAAATAAATTCAGTCTAAAAATATGCCAGATTATAATACGTTGAAATCTATGAGAGCGAACTTGTCTTACTATTAATAAATCGTTGTAAACATGGATCGAGATTTTAGTCAAGCAGAGCGCGATTTGTTGAAGCGATCCCATCAAATTACTACCTTGAAGGAGTGTTTCGCGTGGATAGAAGAATGCAATGAATTTATTAAACAGCTTGAAGAATGCAATCATGTCAAGCGTCCACGGCTTTCCACTGGATACAGACAATCTCTAATCGCTACAATTGCACGAGGGTACAAAGACTCAATTAGAAAGACGATTTCTATATTTTGGTAGTGATTACGCGAGCACTAGCAATAACAATAACATAAAAAGATCTTTTGTTTGGCGAGAGATCGATGCAGCGTTTAAAGATCGAATTTTAACGGTGCGGTAATTAACGCGGTCTATATCGAATTGCGATGATTTTTAAAAAACATCAGCAGTGTAGTGCTCGAGCGAATACAAGACACAATAGAAAGACACAATTGTATAAAATTGAATATGATATTTAACGGCGAATTTGCGACGTGGGTGTTAAACGTGCCAATAAAAATATTAATACTAAAAACTATGAACTCTTTCAAACATCGAACTTGGGTGAGTGGTACGAGTGGCATGTCATCGAATGTTGGCATGGGTTAGGTTCTCTCTCGAGAAGTTTCAAGAACGTGACAATAGGTGGGCGTTGTCGCGAATCATGAATCTTATAATAAACATCAATAAGTGTAATTCAATGCGCGTGAAATGTCGCTTCGAAGTGCCGTGAGAGACAATGAGATAAAAAGAGAGCGGTAATTAACGTCAATGGATGATACATGTTCAGTCAGTGATCGCCGCTCTGTACTCAGCCGAAAGAAACGCGAATCTTCCTACCCACACTATATGATGGTGCTGAATTTCCAAAATATAAAATTCCCTATAATGTTAAAAGACATAACGAAATTCTAATGTTTCAATGATATGTCCATTAATGTATACGGTATTGAGGGACAGAAAATGCTAAACGTTCTCTCGATACGACTTGCTGACGATAGAAAGGAGAAACACGATTCGATTTATTATATTTGCAAGATCCGCGAGACAATAATATCCCCTTCACCATTTCCTTTCCTGCTCTCAAAAACTCTTCACTTCTCAATTATTTGTTATTTTTCTATTTGATTACGCTGATGTCGTAATCTACGTTCCTGCTTTTAACCAACATCTGCTAAATCATGTACAGTGTATCCAAAATTCTTGTCTCCGCTTCTCCTATTGTGTTTGCAAATATGACCATATATCTCCATATTGCCAGAGATCCGGCTGGCTTAAGCAATGTTTTATTCTCCACCTGTGCTGTCTTATATTTTCTTTCCTTCACTTCAATACTTCTCTATATCTGCGACATCTCTTTCAGTTGAACTCTGAGCATCATTCCTCTGTTAATCCTCTTGCCACCAGACCAAGATTACTTATCCTTCCCTATATCGGTCCATTAAGTTCCGTGCCGCTTTCTCCTATACCTCTGTCAAATATTTTAATTCCCTTCCTGATTCAATAAAAACCTCTCCTTCTCTATTCTCCTTTCGTTCCGCTGCCTCGCGTTTCATTGCATCACTCACAGTATTTAAACGAGACTGATGTAATTGATGTCTTTGCGGGTGTATGTGCGTGTGTGAATTTTATGCGTGTGTGTATGATTTCAGTTATTAGTTTACCTCTTATTGCATTGTTGTCTTATTCTGGTTTTGTTACTGGTAGGCTTTGTAACAGCAATTCTACTGACCTAACCATTTTCAAGTTACTATTGTCTATTTACTTATGTTTATGTTAATTTATGATCTATTATATCATACTTTATGTTTATTATTCTGATAAAATGTCTTTTTCATATAGCTTTGCAATAAACTAAATTAAATTAAAATTAAATTAATGTTAGCCATTTCGTACGGATTAAGAATCTGTCTGCGGCTCATGAGCTCGCAATTGAGTAAACATCATGGTCAAAAGTACATTTGCAATCAGTAAGTATATGATTAACAAAAGTAAATTCTTCTTTAAAAAAAAATTAACATTATTTATTTTTATTTGTAGCAATGTTTACATTATTTTCATTCCAACGAGAGATTGCAGTCACACATAGATTGCCGACGGATAAACGATTGCGCTATCCGACTACCGAGTGACGACAAATCTTGAGTGCTTGAGTTTTTACAAATATAATAAGAAGGAACGAATTTCATTTGTCGTTTACGCTGATCTAGAATGCATTCTCAAAAAAACTGATAGCGATCATAAAGCACCTACGCGCACATATCAACATCATCATCAAGTATTTAGCATAGGATACTACGTGCGCTATTCGTACGACTTCACCATCAAAATATTGAAAATTTTGTCGCGATTCGGATCGCGTTTTATGGTTCGTCGAAAAACTGAAGTTAGCACATTGTAAAAAAAAATTTTAGCAGCTAATGTTTCCCATGGAAATTTTGTCGAGCGAAGAGTGAGAGACAATACGCAGCGCGACGCATTGTCATGTGTCCGAAAAGTCTTTTGCGCTAGACGATAATCGAGTAAGCAATCATTGTCATTTAACCGGTCATTACAGAGGTCTCGCACATTCAAAAAATTGCAATTTAAATTATAAAAATTCATATTTTATTCCCATAGTTTTCCACAATTTATGATTCACATTTTATTATCAAAGAAATAGCTACAGCATATGAAGGCAGTATAGAATTATTACTAATACTAAAAGAAAAATATATATCATTTACAAAAAATGTTAAAGATACCACTGAAAGATCAGATTCGCGAAATAAAATTACGATTCATCGATTCTTATAAATTTTTAAGTACTAGTCTTGACAAATTATAATAGCATAAAAATAAACTTCGAATTTTACAACGCAAATTTCAAAATCCGAAGAAAACTTCGAGTTACTGACATGAAAAGGGATTTTTCCATACATTGATTGCGCTG